CAGGAGGGCTATCCCTTTCTCTAGAATAGAGATCTTGAAAAATCCTTGGTAAAGAAATTCCTGATAGTTTGTGAAATGCAAGTTTTGGGGTCTCTTGGATCCTGCTTCCTCAGGAGGGGGTTGAGAATCCACACTCCTTACAAGCTCCCTTGAACTTTTTATGTTACTGACATTTTGTTTCAAAGAATGCCCTGCAGCTCTGCCACCCACTGGCAGGAACCTTTCCTCATGGCACCTATTCTGCTTGCCTCTCATTTAGAAGAAAAAGTGCTGGAAAGAATGTCCAGGAAATGGGCTGTGCTGACGTTTTCCTTTAAGGGCTGCCTCCAAATTTTATGCACATCTTAGGAATTCTAGGCTTGTCTTTCAAAGCTTGACTCCCTAAATTTGCCAGTTGACCTGTTGCACTGTGGTTCCCCTGGGCCCCTCCTTATATCGTGCAACTGGTTTGAGAAACAGCCGATGACTGTTTCAATTTCGGTTGAAGTTCCTTATAAAAGGAGCCGATCTGGGAGGTCATTTGTCTCTGATCCTGAGGCAATGGTTTGGTTATTTTGGCTTATACTAAACTTGGAAGAGAACTGAAGCATCAGGTAAAAACAATCTACACCTACACAGCATGAGAAAGAACAGTCTCAGCCCTTCACGCCAGTGTGGATGGACTGCAGAGAAACAAAGCTGAGCAGAAGTGGTCTCCATTTGCCTGAAGTTCAAAGACAGGCAACAATGACCTTTATTGACAGAGGTGGGAAGAAGAGTTATCTCCCAAGGGTTATTGCTCAGTGGGTGTTCCGGACAGAGAGCATGGGGGCGGGGGAGGCAGGAAGTGCTCTAAATTGTGATCTGGAACCCACGTAGGTTGTAGACACATTTATAAAGTCCTTGAGTAAATTATTAAGCTTTTTGAATTTTACTAAATGCAAATTATGCTGCAGTAAATTTTTAAAAAGAGACGGACAACTATGACTATGATGATGATCCCCCAGAGAAAAAATGATCTGTAATCCTATCCATGTTGGGAGTCAAAATCACCAAACAAATGTAGACTGTTGGATAAAAACAAAATCTTGGAGACTATTACAGAATAAGCTGTTATTTAGCTCCAGTGGTAAGCTGAACATTTAAAATAATGTAAACCCCACCCTGTGCGCTCAGCTGTTTCATGACTTGGAGTGGGGACTTGAAGACACACTGGAGAGATTATTGCATGTTCTTCAAAATGCTGATGCTCAGGAAGCATCTAAAGGAGGAGCTTCACTGCTTTTAGACAAAAGCGGCAGAGAAGAACAGAGAAATAAGTTGTCAGCCCTTTCTGGGTGAAGGTGAGATTTTGCCCAAATCTTGACGACCTTTCATGTGCAGGTGACACTCTGGAGGTGAGGGGAAGCAGGTCAAAGGTCAGTGCTGTTGTTTACTGAGTTCAGACAGCGACAGGAGGCCTGGCTATTTCAGTTCTGGGCTACATGGGAGGACAGTTCCGGGAACATTCCATTAAAGAGTGATTCCTTTATTCCTGCATCCACCAACACTTGGCCTCACATTAGCCATATGTTTAATGTGTTAAATCACCTCGTGGTCTTTCCTCCCTTTGCGTGGGCCCTGCCTCCCAGGCCATGGAACAGGTGTGCTGAGGACGCTTGTCACCTCACCGGGCATGTGGTTTCTCTGATTTCTCCCCTCTCTTCCTCCCCAAGGGTAGCTTGTCTGACACACTGGCATTGTTCAATGTTATGGAGACACAACCTGGCTTTGTTGTGGAAACTGCACTTTCAGGTGTGGATGCTGTAGGCGAGGGGAGACCTGGAAATAACACAGAAGACACTGGTTGTCTGGGCACAGATAAGGCCCCACTCACCGGCTGATGTAAGAGCTGGCCTGGGTTGAGAATCTGTGAATGTGGACGTAGACTTTTATTCATTGTTTTGAAGGCAGAGTTTTGAGAAAGATGATTCATATCCAGACCTCCACATTGGCCCAAAGGCTTTGCAAGGAACTGAACGTTTATGGGAAGAAAAAATAAGCAACACAGATCGTGACTCCTAGAGCCCAGCTCAGGGTGAGGAGATGCCGGGTAAACACACCTCTCATTCCTGAAACAGTGAATGTCCCAGCACAACTTAGGGTGATGCCTTTCGTTCCAAGCAAGCTACTTCTCAGAATAATGTATTAAGGAGGGCCTGGAATAGTTTCGCCCTCAGGTTCCCTGCACAACATGTGAGATCAAATGCAAATGAATAAGACATAAAAGCAAAAGCTACCTCAGGATTGGTGATGATCCCAATGGTGAAAGATAAATAATAGCACATGAGTTACTTCAGCTCCTGCATCTTCCAGGATTTGGTTTTGTGGGGAAGCTTCTGAAAACTGGGAGCAGGCAGGCAGCACCCAAGAGCTGTTGTCCTAGGAAAAGGAGACTTTGGGGGAGAATGTGTGTGTGTGGGGTGGGAGGGAGGTGTCTTTCTCCTTTCTCTATTCTGACAGAGAGGGAGAGACTGCTACCCTCACTCCTGCTCCCAGGCTTGCCTGCTGAGGGAGGATAAGAGGACTTCCTGAGCAGAGTAGGAAGCATCCCTCTTGCTCCCAAAGAGAAGCCTGAGTATGAGAGGTGAGGAAGGAACCCACCAGGTGGAAGGTGCTATGGGGCTGGGGACCAAGGCCCCTATTCTTCTTCCCTGAATGGTTGGCTTCTGGGGGGGGGGGGTGTGTGTGTGGGGTCTTTGTCTCTGCTTTTCTGAAAGTTGTTAAAATGAATATTAACTACAAAATCATTTCTGTGTACCACAGGAGTGGCCTCTGGCTTTCTCCCTCTCTCCCTTGCGCTGTCTCTTCCTCTCACTGCAGAGCTGAGAAAATTTCCAGGGAATTGTCAGTTCTGGTTTCTCCCCTTCCTTCTGCCTTCTTCTGTCCTGACACCCTCCCCCTTAGCGGATCACACAATTCCTTGTGCCCCTGGCAATGTCCCCTGGGCTAGTGTTCACTCCCAAACCCAATTAGTTCTACATTCCCTTTCTCTTTATTTTTCCTATTTACACTAGAAAAAGGGATTTGAGTGCCTTTCCTGGTTGGCTGAATGAAAGAATATCTCAGTACCCTGAACCTTCATTTCCAAGTCTGTCTCCGAATGCTTGTTGGAGGTAACCTGACCAGAGAATTTGCCACACAAATTCCTGTTGGACAAACTTAAATATTTTTAAATCCCCCTCAGCACCTGGTAACCAAAGCAAAGGACAACCACACAGGCTTTGTAAAAAAGGTGATCTGGGTGTCTGGGAAGAAAAGCCCAGGACAGAAGTAAATAAATGGCATTCTTGGGAAGCTAAGTTTTCCAGTCTTGTTGGGTGAAATAGCCCCTCTGTGGAAAAGAAGTCATGTATAACACCTTTGTCCTTTGCCCTGACCCTTTCCTCCCAGAAGCTGTTGGGGGTCCTCTGGGGGGCTGTGGGGAAGAGGTCACCCACAGGTGGGGACACACTTGGGCACTGCAGATTCCCCCAGACACAGAAGTGGAGAGACCTGTAAGGAGGCACCTTCCTTCCTTCCTTCCCTTCTCGGGTCCTCCCCACCTCCCTAGGTTTCTGACCTGATTCCCTGACCTGATATAATCTGATTTCACGGAGACAGTGACCTTATAGACACCTAGTTTCCAGGTGATTCTTTTTTGAACAAGTCCTTTTGTTTTCAGCCCCACCACAAAGGCGTCTCCCACAGGTGGCAGCCCTGGGGGGACCCCAGGGAGGAAGACCTAGGAGGGAGGGTAGGTGTGTTTGAGACTACTGGGTGTCCTCTTTAAATGGACACCTCCTGCGGGGCTGTGGGTCCCACTGTGGCTCTAGAGCAGTCAAAGCCTTCAGTAGGTCAGGGCAGGAGCAGAACTGGAGGCAAGAGGGCTGGGGGCGGGGGCTAGGGTTCTGACCCAAGGGTGGGGCAGGCCTATGTACTTGCAGAAAGCCCTGAGCCACCTTCTGAGGCAGCTGCTCAGGGACCCTCAGGCAGCCTCCCTGGGAAGTGCCAGCTGCTTCCCTTCTCTCACCCACAGCAAGGGGCTGGTTCCAGCAAGGGAGCCGGGAATGAGGTGGGCGCCCATGTCAGAGGAGGAAGCCAGGACACTCCCAGTGAGCTCCGAGAGTCTCTGGGGAGTCCATTTATAGGTTTGGAGCCTGGCACACAGCACAGGGGGATCCCCACAAGCTGGCCCAAGGAAACCCAGGAGGCCCGTGGAAGCAGGCTAGGCCGGTAGCTGGGCGCGCACAGTCAAGTGCAATTGCGGCGCCCCCTCTCTAGGCAGAGGCTGGGGGCGGGGAGGGGGAGGCTGGAGGGACACCGGGTTTCCCCGAAAGTTTCCGGTGAATTCTTGTTCCTGGAGATCCGCTTCAGCTGCGTGTGTTTCCCGAGAGGGGGCCTCCTGCGCCGCCGCCCCCCTTCCCTGGCACGGAACGATTGCGCACGGGGCTCCTTCCCCGGCTCAGTCTCCTCCCCACGCGCCCCCTCTCCGCGGCGCTGGCCAGCGCCGGCGCTGCCCCCCGCCCGTGCCCGAGCCGCGGCGCCGCTGCAGGCTGCGGGGAGCTGCGCCAGCCCGTGCTCCCGCCTCGCCCCGTGCTCCCGGCGCGCTCCGGCCCCGGCTCGGTCCCGGCTCGCGGCACGCGGACCATGGAGTAGGCGGGCGGTCCCGCGACGCCGCCTGCAGCCGGCGAGGCCGGAGCCAGCCCCGGGGGGCCTCGCCAGCCGACGGAGTTGGCGAGCGGCGGGCCCTCCTCCCGCCGGTCCTTCCCCGCTCCTCCTCCTCCTCCTCGGCCGCGGCCGCCCCCGCCTCCCGGCCACCCCCGCCGCCCTCGCCGCGCCGCCGCCCCAGGCCGAGCGCGGACGCCGAGCGTGGGAGCCATGGCGCGCGAGGAGGAGCGGGACCCCGAGCGCCGGGAGGCGGCGGCGCGGGCGCGCGGCGAGGAGCAGGAGGAGGAGGGAGAGGAGGGACCGGGCGGCCGCCACCACGAGGACGGAGGCTGGGAGACCGGCCGCGGCCAGCAGGAGGAAGAGCCGGCGGCGGCCGGGCGGGAGCGCAGCGAGGACGCGCGGCAGCACCCCTCGGCGCGGGCCCCCGCCGCCCAGCCCGCCGCCCAGCCCGCCGCGGCCGCCCGCGACCGGAGCGGCCGCCGCCCGCCCGCGCCCCCGCCGGGGCCGCTCCCCGGCAGCCCGAAGATGCCGTCGCCCGAGGAGGAGGAACGCGAGCGTCGCCGCTGCCGCCGGAGGGACCTTCTGCTGAGCCAGCTCTGCTTCCTGGCCTTGGTGGCGCTGCTGCTCTGGTCGCTGGCGAGCATGCAGGCGAATAATGGTGAGTGCGCCCTGCCCGCCCCGAGTGGGCGCTGCCGCTCCGGGTCCCTGGACCGGGCGCTGGGCGAGCCGGCGGCTGCGCGGGGGTGCCTGGCTCGAGGACTCCTGCGCCGGCAAGGGGCCCCGGAGGTGCGCGCCCTGAAGGCCGGGACCTCTCGGTGGAGAAGCAGCTGGGGCGCTGGGGCTCCTGGCCGCCCTAGGCGCCCTAACCTGTGCCTCTTGACTCTGCCCTCCTTATCCACAAGCTGGAGGGGCGAGGGGTGGCAGCGTTCGGGGGATTGTTAACCCGAAACAAATCCCCCAAAGCCGGTGGTCTGGTTGTCCTTTGAAGATTCAGTACCTGCACAGGTAGCCGACCACCTGTAACCTCTGGCTTTTTGAGGGCATGGTGCTGGTGGTGAGCACGTACTTTCCACATGTTCTTCTTGTAGGGCAGGCAGGATGAACCAGGTAGGAAGCACCATACCAGCCTTTCCTGAACAGGTGCTGGAAACTTCCGATAGGGAAAAAAGTATTGGCCACTTGGTTAGGAAAGGATTTGTTTTCTTAAACTGATTGCTCGCGGGGAAAATTATGGACGCTCAGCTTTGGAAGAAATGATTTGGGCTGTACTTGCCATCGTGGTGCCCTGGACTGGGTTCACCCTTTAACCTACAACTTTTGTGTTATCTTTTTCCTTGGCCTTTCTTGAACTTGTGGAGAAATGTGATCAGAACAGTCGCCCACTGTTGAAAACAGTTCAGATCTTGGAGTGCAACTGTCTGAAAAAACAAGGAATGATATGGAAGAATAAGTGATGTAAAATGGTTTTATATTCACATGATCTGAGTGGCACAGTTTGTGGGAAAACAGCTGTGTAAAAGGTTGTGAGAATAAAGCAGTTGCAAATGTGTGCTTTGGTGTTAAGGTAGATGTACCTTTAAGGAAAGGTGTTATGAAGGGCAGAATAAAGGCATTTTGATAGGGATGGTAATATATTTTCAAAGGTGCCCTCAGTTTAAAAGGGAACTCCTCCACATTAGTTGGACTGGTGCTTGGTGGTGAAATCAGATGGTCGCTCCAAGTTCAGATCTTAGACCTCTTGACAGACTTCATCATATATGGTAATATGAGAGAGTTTATCCTGGTCTTCAATGAAGCTGTTAAGACTCCAGGGCTTGCCCGCTCTCCATTGCTCTGCATCCCAGATGTCTGGAGAGGGGGGCTGACATCAGGAAGGTGACTGTGTTGGGGTGAGGAAGGCTGGACCTCACTCCACGGGCGGTCAGGTATCAGCTGCTGATGGCTTCTAAAGAAAAGAAGTCGTTTTCATTAAGCCCTTTTTAATCTTCCCAACTTTTATGAGTGCAAAGCCAGTAAGTACTTCATACTACCCCTGGAAAGAGCCATTCCAAGTCAAATACATACCAGCCATTTTTCCTGCGATTGGGGTTCTGTGAGTCATAGTGGAGTTTCCACCACTGTCCAGGATATAAAAGACATTATTTTCTGGACAGAGAATGTGACCGTACAGTCAAATCCATTATTGGCTGCCTGGATTCCAAGAAAGCTGGGATGTTTAGTGGGGAAGAGGTGCTGGCTGGTAAGCAAATTTGAAACCTGGTGATGAAAATGTCATTTCGGAATGGTTTCCCCGATCACTGAAATTTCTGTTCAGGTGTCATTGACTCAGATTTAGTTCCATAGTGCATCCCTTTCCCCATTTCTCCCCCTGGTTTTTCTTTCTCCTTCCTAATATTCATATTCTTTTTCTTCCTCTCACTCCCTCTCTACTCCCTCCCATAAATGAATGTATGGCTTAAATGACCCCCACCCAGTGACTGAATGTAATGGTGAACAACCAACAGTGTTAAGGGGGATACCATCCAACTCCCAAATGGCCACCTAGTTGTCATTCCGTCCCCAATGACCTTTTCTTTCATTAGGCATTGATAATTTCACTAGGTGATGCACAGTAATAATTTGCAGCAAGGTATGAGTTTTTTGAGATGATCGTTGAGACATTCATTAATGTGTGTGAATCTGCAAATGATTATTTTGTTGGAGTGGGTTGTCATTCAGCATACTTAAGCTTGTGAGTAGTGACTTTTACCCTGGAAACTTGGGGGCTGCTCTGCTTGAGGGTCCTTTTAGTATGGACACAAAGTTTGAAATTTAGACTTGTTTTCAAGCTATCGTGACTTCGAGAGGCTGAGAGATTCCTTAAGGTCACATAGCAGTTGAGCAGTAAAGAGAAAAAACAACCCGAGGTGAGCTGGGTCTTTGTTCTCACCTCTGTACCCTGGTATTCATGTCACCGTGCTCGAGCAGCAATGTAATATTTATATAACCACATAGGCGGTGACTTCATAATGATCAAAAGTAATGTCATTATTTATTCACCTTTAAAGCCATGGAGTGATTCAGTGTAACTTATCAGGAATCTGTTTTCTAATGCATATTTTCTTTTCTCTCTCTCTCTTTTCTTTTTTTAATAAAAAGGACTTCTTTTACCAAACCAAAATAGAAATGTGTGGCAGTTATGTTACACAATGCTGCACAACATTTCTAATCATGTGGAATCTGGGATCCCTTTCTTGATGTCTAATCAAACTCAGTCTAGATTCTTTTCTGCTAAGATGGGACACTGGTGTTGTTGAATTTAGGTCAGAAAGGCTTAGCACTGGAATCAAGAGAAATGTTAATTCTAACACCAAAAGCAATGATAATCGGAATTTGGTGGGCTGTTAAGTTCCAGATACTGTGCTGAGCACACTTTATAGACACTGCTTGATTTCATCTGCAAGCAGCACTCTTTGTAGACCTTCAGGTCTTCAGCTGCAGAAAGAAAAAAGCCCTCTGTGCTTGTTGTTGCCAATGAAGATCTCATTTTTGATCTCTCCTTTCAAAGTCATTGAAATAAAGTGTCAGACTTGCTAATGAGGATTTTCTTTCATTTTTTTTGTAGTGAGAAGGGGTTACTTTTGTATGTTTTGAGTGGTTGAAAAGTGTTTAATTTTTTTTTGAAGTAAAGAATCTGAAGTAAAGAATTTTTTTCTCAGAAGTGGTGTGGATAAAACCCAGGGGTTCTAACTCAGGAGTAATTATAGACTTCCCCTCTAGAGGGTTCCTAGGGAGGAGAATAAGAAAAATTATCCGAATATGTGTATTCTACATATTTAAATATAATTGATGCAAATACATACTTATACATTTATATAAACCTTGAGAAACTTTCTGTCCCAGTTACTATTGCTGCATAGCACACCTTTCCATAACTCAGTGGTGTAAAACAATCATTTTATATTTTGTACATGGATCCTTGGCATCAGGGATTTGGGCAGGACACAGTGGGCATGGCTTTTCTTTGCTCCATTATGTTTGGGCCTCAGCTGGAGATATTGATAGTCTGGGTGACTGATGTGATAGCTGGGTGAGGAGTCATCTGGAGGCAAGGTCACACCTATGTCTGGGGTGCCAGCTGCTGACTCGACCCTTTGAGGGGCTGTCAGCCATATCACCTATGTGTGGCCTCTCCATGTGCCTGTGTTTGGACTTCCTCAGAGCACAGTAGTTGAGTCCCGAGAGGAGAAGGTGGAAGTGCATGGAGTTTTATGTCTTAGCCTTTGAGGTCACTGGTATCAGATGTCAGCCCAAGTTCAAGGAGAGGAGACATAGGTGCCACCACTTATTTGATGGGGGAAGTGTTGGGACATGTTGTAAGGAGAGCACATGCGATGGGAGGTTTTGTTGTTGCCATCTTTGGAAAACCAGTTATCTAAAGGGGTAGTAATTTAGGAGTAATTTTACGTATTTCCCAAGGTGGCAAATGGTGAAATATGCATATATTTATGTATATGCATATGTACACACATGTATACATGTACATGTGCATATATACATATATACACTGTCATACATGTATATCTGGGTCTAGGTATATATAAACCTTATTTGTGTATGTGTACATTTCATAATATCTTTTCATCTTGAACACATTGATGCTTATCTTAGCTGGAATGGAGACTTGAACTGCAACGTCAGTAGCAAATCTGAGAACCCATCTTGAACTTTGTTGCTTCCCATTCTCAGGGGCCTGGGACCTTTCTGTCACTTCTGTGGCTTGCAGGGAGGCGGGGCCAGATCCTCCGGCTTTTTCTTTCCTCTCCTGCCCTCCCCATTCTGTGCCTCACCATTTGTGTCTTCTTCTCAAAAGGGCAGTGCTTCTTCCAACCCCAGGCCTCTAGCATGTGCTGGTCCCAGTGTCGCCATGGCAACTAGTTCATCCTTCAGCCTTCACTTTTGGGCCCAAGATCTTCCTCATTAGGCTGGGCTCCCCATTTTGCTCTCTGGACACTCCCTATTTCCCTTCATAGATCTATCACAGTTGGCGATGATAACTTTATTTGTTTATGATTTGAACAACAGCTCCTCACCAGGTTCTGAACTCTAGGAGATCAAGGACCCTATGAAGTTTCCTCATCTTTGTTGCTGCAGTCACCCAGCCATAATAGATGCTCAAAAGACACTTGTGAAATAAAGAAGGTCTTCTGATTTCTGAACTGCAGTGCCTCTGATTAAAATAGCTACCTGGGGCCTCCCCTGGTGGCGCAGCAGTTGAGTGCTGGGCTGCGAAGCTGCGCGCAGCCTCGGATCCCCGGCCACGGGGCGAGGGTCCCACATGGTGCGCAGACCTCTCCTGCCACCCACTGCTCCCCTCAGCAGTGTATTTCATCAGTCTGCCTGTTCTGCTCTCCGCTCTGTCTCTGGTGAATTCTCTCACCCTCCCGTGCTTCTGACTGTACCCAGTGCTTGTATGAATAAAAAAATAAATCTTTAAAAAAAAAAAAAAAAAAGCTACCCAATTCCACTCCTAGGAATCTAACCAAAGAACACAAAAACTTTAATTCAAAAGGAAACCTGCACTCCTATTTACAAAAGCTAAAACATGGGAACAACCTAAAAGCCCCCAAACAGATGACTGGATCAAGAAGCTGTGGTACTTATGCACAATGGAATACT